CTCTCTCTGTCTCAAAGATAAATAAATGTTAAAAAAAAAAAAAAGATGAACAGTTAATTATTTTTCATTGATAGTATCAGTATATTGATATGGGTAAAAACTTATAATATCTGTGCCTGAATTTTTTAAAAAAAGGTTGAGGGCTTGGATTTCTTTTTCCCAATTTTATGTATTTAAAAGTAAATACTGTATATGTTCACTTGGGCCTGACTATAGACCCCATCCACTGTTGTGCTAGCTCACACTAATTAATTGTTGTATTTTTAGAATTTTGTGAGCTGGTTGAAGTCAAATTGGTAGCTTGAAATCTACCAATTTGTTTGGCATACTAATACTGTGAAAATTGGCAAATCCCACAAATCTGGGGTTTTCTCCCTAGGAGGAGAGCCGGTTGTTCAACATTCACCACTGCCCATAACTAACCAACAAGACCATGTGAATTTGTGGAATATCAAGCACATTGTGATTTGCAGTTATGAACCTTGTAGCTCAAGTGTCTGTTGCTAATACCTTTCAGATTGGTCTTAGGTCTTCCTGCAGTAAGCAAGTTCAGGACTTTAATTAAAACTTGAGACCCCTAGGGGTGCCTGGGTGACTCAGTTAGTTAAGTGTCTGACTTTTGGCTCAGGTCATGATCTCATGGTTCGAACATCAAGTCCTGAGTTGGGCTCTGCACTGACAGCACGGAGCCTGCTTGGGCTTCTGTCCCCCTCCTCCCCAACTGACGCTGTGTGTGTGTCTTTGTCTCTCAAAAACTAAACTGTAAAAAAACAACTTGAGACCCCTATAGTTAGGGCCACTGCAAAACAAATGGACTCACTTTATCCTTAAGTGAGATGGTTTAAGGTGGCAGACATAAAATTTGTTGTGTTTCAGTGTCGATCTGGGAGGAAGTCAACGATGGGATTCCAGCCATGGTGTCTAGGGAGGCTAGAATGGAGGTTTGTCTTGAAGAAGAGCAGGAGATGGCCTTCTGGGGAGGGAAGTGGCAGTGGTTTATTTAAGATGTCCTTAGATAAGAGCTGTGTTGTAGGCCAAGGAATCCTGCTCTGCTGGTCAGTGCTGACCTCCGTAGAGGCCGACCTATTTCTGTGTTTTCTTGATACCTGGTTTATGAGTCCCAACATAAGGGGTATGAGATAATTTTACTCCAGAGCGGTGAGTCTCAAACTCGTTTTAATGCCAGAGAAACCATGATTGGCTTTTGCGAACATGTTGAAATCAATGTATTTAAATCTGTGTGAACTAGGAATCATTTAGTAGCAGAAATAGGACTGTATTTTCTTTTCATCTCAAGAAGATTGCATACATTTTAATGGAAGCCTATTTAGTTTTTCACTTAATTGTCTGCTCTTTGGAGAGTTGTTTTTTCTGCCATGAGCCCTTATTACAAGGCAAGTGGTAGCTGTAGTCAAACATTGAAAAAGAAAAACTCACGGGAGCAAACTTTAAAATAAGGAGCGGAGGGGATCCTATGAATTAGCTTTCGTAGATTGACCTATGATCTATACCTTTGTATGCATTTTGGGAAGAAAATGTTTGATTTTATGTGTCTGAATTCCTGGGGCCTGTTCTGAAGCACTTGCTCTAAGGTTTGTCCCGGGGTGTGCTGGGAGAATCACTACTGGGAGTGTAAGGGGTATTGGGAGAGCTCAGGGAGCTCTGGGCCCTGCCCGTCTCCTGGCCACAGTATCTCCATGTTTCTTTTAGACTTCCAGGTGAGCCATGAAACAAGGTTATGATGCCTAAGCTGAAGTTTAAAACCATTATCCTAGAAATTACCTTTGTCGTCTGTTCTCAGGATTCTTTATCACCTAAAAAAAAGTCTTCACTTTTCCCATCTGCCAGAGAACTTTTTTGGGTTCTCTAAACTATACCAAAATATCTTTCAGTGACTTTCCATCAAGGGTGTTTTGACAGGCTCAATAAAAATGAATGTTGCCTGATAATTCTTCGCTTTTGCTCCTCTGCTGCTCTCTGCCAAGCTTCAAATTAGAAGACTCTGTAGGGCCTTAAAAGTGTTAATTTGAATAGTTAAGTTTTTGTAAGCTCTGGTTTAAAAATTCTCTGTGTTTTTATGAATGAATGCCTTTTTTTTTTTTCTTAGCAGAATTTCCATTTATAAGCTCGTATTCATTTTCAGGCTTGTGGTTAAAGAGAAAAAACCTTGCATTTACTAGGCTGGGAGTGCTAAAAATTAAATGCATCATCTCACGCAGTGTTACATTCCACGCCTACCTCAAATCCGTCTTGAGTGGCTAAATAGCACCTTGGGCATTGGAAGTCTGTGGTGAAATGGGGTAGTTGTGGGGAAATGAGGTAGTTGTGTAAGTATTACACGTATTTACAATCCCTCTTCATGCCATTAATATCCCCGAAGCGTGAAACTAAGCTAGATTTAAGGCAGTGGTACTAGTGATAGATCCTGATGCTCAGAGATCTGTTTTCTAGTGTTTAAAAGCTTTTACTTGATCTTAATTTCTAAAATAACTTTTGGAGTGGCTCAGTCGGTTAAGCATCCGACTCAAGTCATGATCTCACGGTTTGTGAGTTCGAGCCCTGCGTTGGGCTCTGTATAGATACCTCAGAGCCTGGAGCTTGCTTCAGATTCCGTGGCTCCCTCTCTGCCCCCTCTCCCTATTGTGCTCTCTCAAAAATAAATAAATGTTAGAAGAAATTTTTTTAAGTTAAATAAAATAAAGTAACTTTTACTGTTTACAAAAGTAATATGTATGTGTTATAGAAAAAAATTTTTAAACCCAGTACAGTACGAAGGAGATCATTAAAATAACCCATAATCCTAACACCTGGGTGGAACAAAATGTGTTATTTTTTAAAGAACTGAAGCTAATTAATGACAGCCTCTATGGTACACAGCCCGGGAGTGCACCCACACGTGCAGTTGAGTATGACGTGGAGAATTGTGAAGGAGTCCCAGTGGCAGATGACTCCAGTGAAGTTCCTTTATTTATAGTGTTTTTGCACTGTTTTGTGGTAGAAAGAGCATTGGTTCAATCGGGTGTTTGCGGAAGTGCTTCCTCTGGCCCAGGCATTGATCTCCACACTGGGAATATAGTGGTGCTTAGGACAGGCAGTGTCCTTGCTTTCCTGAAGCTTAAATTCAAAAGAACTGACATGTGGGCAGATGGCCCCGTGTCTCTCCATCCCCTCACCTGCAGAATGAACGTGGGACTGTTTACCCTGCCGGCTTGTGAGAATGTCTACAGTGACCAGCACACGGTAGATGTCCTGTCAGAGCTTGCTCTTTGCCAGGTCACTGTAGACAGGAATAGACAGTAGATCCCCAAGACTGCTGGAGGAAAAGTAAAGCAGCCCTCACTCGTGCTTTCCCTGCAGCTGATCTATAAGCTGCAGGGAACAGAAGAGTTAACCAGAAGAGCAGACCTGCCGTCCCCAATGTGGACAGTCTGGTGCAGCAGATGCTCACTCATGGGTTATATAGAAAGTGGGCTTTTCCGAGGATCTGTGCACACCATACTTTACAATTTTAGTTAAGTTTGTTAAAACTAAGTATGATAGTTTTCATTCATAAATTCAATCTTTTGATTGTATGTTCTAGTGATGTTAGAAATACTTCGTAGCCTAAAAAGTGCAAGATGAAAATTCATGATTTATAAGGAATTCTCATATACTTCCTTGATTCCCTCCAGTTTATTTTTTAAGCCCTTTGGCAGCAAGTAAATCATAATAAACTGTATGAAGTTCAGAGAGCTGATTTTCAAAATGTATTGCAAGCTTCTGTGGTTCTGTGCTAAGGTGCCTTGTTAAACACATAGGTGTAGATAAAAATTTTCCTTTTAATCCATCAGTAAGTAACAATCTTTTGAAAGCCTACTTTGTACCTGGTGCCACGGTGGGCTCTGTTAGGGCACAGGGGAGGGGAGGGGCATTGGAGGGGGTGAGACACATTGCCTGCTGCCACGGAGCTCAGGCTCAGTGGGGGAAAGAGTAAATGCCAGAGTGCTTTGGAACTGTTTGAAATGAGGTATGCAAGTTTGATTGCTCTTCTACTCTGAGTTTGCCTTTCTAGTATGTTCCTAGGTCCCCAACATGGACTGGCAGATACATAAAAATATTTCTGAGAGTCCGGTACCGTAGTGTACGTTCAGTTAGTATAAGTTAAAAAGTAATTTTCAGAACAAGTGACATGTAATATTTTTGTCTTTAGGGCTCTGGAACTTCATCCATTCTCCATCAAACCTCTTCTTCGACGAGCAATGGCCTATGAAACTTTAGAGCAGTATCAGAAAGCTTATGTGGATTATAAAACGGTGTTGCAAATGGACTGCACAATCCAGCTAGCGAATGACAGTATTAACAGGTAACCTAACCCGAAGCAGTGCCTGAGGTCTAGTTGTTTTACAATGGAGCTACATTTTTCTCTTCCCCACCTGCAAGAACTACCAAAGTGTAGACTGTTCTATTATTTACTTTGCATGAATGATCGCCTTCTCTCACTCCCATCAAAACCAAACAGTTCTTTCTCTATAACTTAATTTCTAACTGTCCTGCAGTACATTTTGAGTTGTCCTCTGACACCTTTGTATTTGTTTCCTGGTCCATTTATTGCTGTTCAGTAATTATGGTTTTTTTTAACTTAGGGTACAGATCTTTGCTGTTCTGAGCGCACAGCATTTAATTTCAGTATTTATAAATATCTGTGGAGTTAGGAAGTGTTTTCAGTGATGTTGTAAATCAGTACTAATTATAGGACAGGATCCAAAAATGTAGTGAAAACTGCCATGTTGAATCTTCTTCTCCTACAGGGTTTGCACATGCTCATTGGCACCACATCTGTCAGTGGAAACATATCTGTTGTTTCTCCTCAGGAGAACGGATGTCTTCATGAGCCTGCTAGATATTTGTGTTATATGCCCTTTAGACACTCATCTAGGATGAGTATTAACTTACAATGGTGAAATAGCAAAGAATTTGGATCTAATTTATATTATGACCTATTTACCCCCTGAGTGAGCATGGGAAGGTAAGAATTTCCAGACTTCAAATGGCTTTCAGGTGAAATTTGAAAATTACTAGTTGGGCAATATTTCTAATTATGTATAATATTTTCTGATTCCATTTGTCCAAAGTATAATCATGTGCGTTATGCTGTGCCCCGTGTTGGTCTAGTGTACCATGTCCCCCACCCCCCCACCACCTAAAGAGACAAAATGGGGAAAAATAATATAGTCTCTGTATTTAAGCAAACCAGAATATAGTTAGATGAAAAAAACACAAGACAGGTTATCTCCAACTGTGAAAAATGGTTAGGAAGGTGGGGGTTAACAGGCCAGGCCACCTTTGTGTAGACCTCAGTTGCTGGAGAGAGAGTGCCTGAGGTGGTCTTTGAAGAGCACTGATGGGACATGAGGAGACCTTGAGCAAAATTTTAGGAAATGAGAGTGGCATGTTTTGGATTAATTCATTTTATAAAATCATGCCTTACCTTCCTACATTATTTCACCACACTTTGGAGAAAACTGTTGGAAAGATCTGTATGTAGAGCCAATGGCCATCTCCTGGAACGTTCACTCTCTGGTCACGTGGAACCTGTCTAAAAGGGATATATACTGTTTATTGGATCTAGAGTGGGGCTAGCTGGAACCTTGGGCATTCACAGACTCTTTGATCTTGATCTTGTAAAATCAGGCAGCATCACGTGGGAGCTCTCCAGCCATTTGCCCTGTGGCACAGCTGCCTTGCCAAAGTGTCATCTACTGCCACATATATGCTTGAAGGTACTTTTCTTCTTTTTTGTCTAGTTAATTCCTTCCTGTCTATCAGGAGAGGGTCTGCTTCCTCTAGGAAGTGACTTTCACAGATACACCCACCTCCTGCCTCACCATACATGTATTTCAGGCTCTCTTCCCAGTGACCCCAGAACACTGTGCCTTTTATTACACAGCTTCCATATTATTTGTAAATTCTCTGTCCCTCTCTTTTTGTAAAATTATTTTTCTCTCATTCTCCTGGAAGTTCTGTGAGGTCAGGAATTGTGTTTTATCCATCTCTGTAGTTGAAGTACCTCATACAGTAAATATCCTCAGTAAAATGTGTTGAATGAAGTCATTCCCTAACAGCGTAATTCACTCCTGTGCTCTGCTTTGAATTTGCCCGACCTCCTCTGTCTGGTCATATCCAAGGTAGTTGGGGAAAGTAGAATCCTCTCACGGTTAGAGGTTCTTGTGAAACAAAGTTGGGAAGGCCCCTGAAGTAGCTGACAGAGAGGAAAGGCCTGTTGAAAGGTATTTTAGGAAATAACAGTTCACAGTGATAGGCTGGAAGGTCTGAAGGGAGAAATCTATATCTGACAGGCTGTAATTACATTTCTGAACCTGCTGCACTATATAGTTTTTAAAAGTGAAGTACAATTCACAGAAGGGAAAACTATTTTAAAATATACGATTGAGTGGCCTTTTAGCACATTCACATGTTGTATAACCACCACCTCGCTCTAGTTCCAAAACATTTATCGTCCCAAAAGGAAATTCTGTTCCCATTAAGCAATCACTCATTGTCCCTTATCCCAGTCCCTGGAAACCACTAATCTGCTTTCTGTCTATGGACTTCCCTATTCTGGGTAGTCCCTATAAGTGGAGTCCTAGAGGAGGTACCTTTTGTGTTTGGCTTCTTTCACCTACACAGTGTTCTCAGGGTTCATTCTTGTTGCAGTATATGTGAGTGCTTCATTTCTTCTTATAGCTGAATAATCCATCATATGGATATATATCATTTTGTTCGTTCATTCATCAGATGGTGGACATTTGGGTTGTTTGCATCTTTGAGCTGTTGTGAACGGCCTGCTTTGAACATTTTGTGCATAGGGTTTTGTTTATATACCTGTTTTTGGTTCCTCTTGGTGTATACTCAGGAGTGGAATTGCTGGGTCATATGGGAATTCTATGTTTAAACTTTTTGAGGATTGTGTTATACTTTTTATATGTCCTCATGAAGGTCCTTTTACATAGATTGACTTGTAAGTTTTTTTTAATTGGTTCTTACTGATGTTTTATAAGAAGGTGAGGAGGCTTTTTTTTGCTGTATTTCTTCTATAAAATATCAATTTTTAAAATTTCACTGTTCCTTTTCATGAATCCCATATTTATGCTTTTCCATGTGAGCAACAACAGCTTTTTTTTTTTTTTTTTTTTTTTTTTTTTTTTTTTTTTTTTTTTTTCCCAGTTTAAACATCTGTGCTTATTTTGTTTCTGTCTTCCATTAACCATATTCCTCTCTTCCTCTCCAGGAATCTTATATGTTAAATTTCCCTGCATATACTTATTTACTCCCTGGCAACACATCATCTCTTTTCAGCTGCTTCTTCCTTCCTCTCTGCTGGTAATACAAGTTTTGCTTGAAAATTCTTTTTTCTAAAACTTTTCTTTTTTTTTTTCTGCATTTGTGGGTGGTTTTACATTATTTTTCAAAAAAAAATTTTTTTTCACCAAAATATGTGAGAGTTGGTTAGCATAACCAATTTCAGCATAACTGAAATTTCAGTTTAAAAAACTGGGGAAAAAGTATGTGCATTGTATTTGTGTCTAGATAAATAAAAACTATTCGCACAAAAAGTACTATTGAGTTAACTAACTTGAATGCATTCTCCTAATTACCAGTAAACCTTCTCAGTCTTGGGGCACACCTTTTTTTTTTTTTAATTTTTTAAAAATGTTTGTTTATCTTTGAAAAAGAGAGGGAGAGAGACAGTGTGAGCTGGGGAGGGTCAGACACACACACACACACACACACACACACACACACACAGAATCTAAAGCAGGCTCCAGGCTCTTAGGTGTCAGCACAGAGCCCGATGCGGGGCTTGAACTCACAAACTGTGAGATCATGACCTGAACTAAAGTCGGATGCCCAGCCAACTGAGCCACCCAGGTGCCCTGGGGCACACCTTTTTGAAACCAGTTTCATTTCAAATACATGATTCAATTTTGTTTTAAATCTAAATATATTTTGTGTGTTTAAAATGATGACACAGTGATAATCGGAGATGTTAATCTGAACCTTTTGATGGTCATGAGTAAATGTCAGTAATACAAGGGCCCTTGTATTAGACTCCAGTATCTTGTCCCTTCATCATTATGTGTTTGAAAACATAGTTAATGGATAATTTTAGAGGCAAAAAAAAATACAAGGTAAGAGTATCTTAGCAATATGGAAATGTTTTAAGAAAAAACAGCATTCCACATTACAGCTTGTCCTCATCACTTTCGGCAGCTAGTCTTGAACACCTGTCTTTGGTGTATGGTTTGGGCATAGAAATTCTGAAGTGCTTTTGGTTATTCTCCAGAGTAATACATTATCAATTTAACAATTACATTAAATGTTATGCAAGACGTTTCTTTTAGGCCTTCTAAATTTTGCTTTTATTTTTCACTTTTTCAAAAAAAATACAGTTTTATTGCATATACATTAAAAATATTTTTTGAACCAGTTAGAAAGGCCTTCACTTTTTTCTTCTACAAAAAGGATCTAAAGTTAACATAGTTTTTGGCAACTTTTAAAAGTCCTTCTAAAGACCATTTAAAGGTCTGTGGACAGCAGACAGCTTAAGACTGTTTTCTGCAGGGAAGTACACAAATGCAATGTTTGTAAATCTTACTCTTGATTTGAGCTTCATGGATATAAAAAACAAATGGCATGATTAATCAAGAAAATTCATTTTCTTTTTAGGATAACAAGAATTTTAATGAATCTGGATGGACCAAGCTGGCGGGAGAAGCTGTCACCCATTCCTGCTGTGCCCACTTCCACGCATTTAGCTTGGCAGCCTGCCACAGAGACACCCCCAGACCAAGTGGGAGACTCCTGTAGCCATTCCCAGCCTGGCATCACAGGTAGGGGAGGCCTACAATCCTTTCTTGTGCGGGTTGTCTTGAGCTGTGTGTATATCTTCTCGGTAAAGCAGAAGGAGAAGGACATGAACTCAGGCATCAGACCCAGGTTTAAGTTAAGACCCTGTTCTCCCCCTAACTAGTCTTAAGTTGTTTCATGCATCCAGTGTCCTAGTGTGTATGAAAGGAGGAAATGTAACTATCTAATGGAGTTCTTAGGAATAAATGGAGATGTGCATGCAAAATAATAAAGGTTAAGTTAGCATAATTATTAATAAGAAAAAGAAGTAGCATTAGTTTACTACTATGCCTATATGTGGCAGGGCTAAAATAATAAGATTGGTGTGTTTGAAATAATAAAGTAAAATCCTACAATGTAAATATCTAGCAGGTATTTTCTTCTGCCTTCTATCATAGTTGTTAACATATCTGCATTCCCTTAGTACCTACCTCATCACGTTGTACAGTGTTTAATAAGTGTTGACTTCACTCTTGCTTTCTGCGTAAAGCCATTGAGGCCCCATTTCTCCTGCCTGCTTAGGAACTCTGTATATCTCCTTGAGCCTCATCTTGTAGACACCCTGAGATTCCTGAGTCATGATGTTCCAGTGGCTTCTCTTAGACCCTCACCCTCTTCATTGACTAGAAAGAAGATGCAGGGAACATCTGCTGAGGCTTTAAGATTATTTATTTATTGAAATGCTTATTTATTTATTTTGAGAGAGAGGGAGAAAGAGCGTGCGCACGTGTGCCAGCAGGGGAGGGGCAGAGAGAGAGGGAGAGAGAGAATCCCAAGCAGACTTGGGGTGAGATTGTGACCTGAGCCAAAATCAAGAGTTGGAAGCCTAACTGGCTGAGCCACCCAGGTGCCCCAGGGCTTTATGATTATTTAGCAGTCCTTGGAAAATCATGGGGCTCTCTGGTTTTCTAGAGTTTGCCATTAGAGCCTCGCACAAATCATTTGGTCAGTAAAGGGTAGCTGTTTGTTAACAGAGTGAATATACTAACTGTACCATAGATATGGGATAGCTAATTATAAGCACAAGTATAATCAGCTCTTTCTGTTCATTTTTATGTGATTATTAGAATAGATACCGAAGGTTTAAAAACACTGGGGGAGGAAAAGCTTAAGGAAAGTTTTTCAGCAAGTTATATAAGCCCTAAAACAGAATAATACTCTGTTTATGTTTTAGGGCTTATATATGCTAGATTTATGGGGAGTGTCATTGGCCCCATTGTATGAGATCTTTTGAAACATGACACATTAGAAATACTCTGTGATTGGGATGTCTGGGTGGCTCAGTCGGCTGAGCGTCTGACTCTCGGTTTTGACTCAGGTCGTGATCTCAGGTTTCAGCAGTTCAGGCCCTGTGTCAGGCTCTGTGCTGACGGTGCAGAGCCTGCTTGGGATTCTCTCTCTTCTTCCTTTTTCTCTGCCCCTTCCCTGTTCGTTCTTTCTCTCTTTAAATAAATAAATAAACTTAAAAAAATTTTTTTTTAATATTCTGTGATTTAAAGTAAAAGATGAGAAGTTACTACTTCATGCCATTGTGCAGGGGACAAATAAGATTATTGTTAATATTCCAAGTTTATATTACAAGTTTAGTGTGTTAAGATTTTTAGATTATAAAATTTAAAGATATTTTAAATTTTAATTTATGGATTTTTATATCAGGTGACTCCATTGGGTAATTTACACAGATTTAAAACTTTAGATATTCATACTTTATGTGTGTTAAAAAACTTTGATTGCAAGTAACAGAAAATCTATTGACAGGTTGTAAGGAATGGCTTTGGCTCATGGAACTGAAAGGGCTCAGGCAGGCCCTAAAACCAGGCACAGCTCATCAGGGCTCAAGTTCTGATGGAAAATAATACAACTGCAGCAGTTTTAGGCTTCATGTGTGCACTTAAGAATGTCTAAAGGGAGAGAGACGCCATTGCTTTGGGTGGCATTAATTTAACAATGAGAAAATACGTTACACCTAAAACCCTAGCTTTTTTATCCTGTTCCTTTCTTGGCCCAGAATCTAATGGTAGTTACTCTAATGGGTCATGTGTCCATTCCTGAGCCAGTCCCTATGATGAAGGAATGGCCTGCCTGGATTGGCTTAAGCCTGAGTTCTTGATCAGTGGAGTCAGCTTCCCCTGAACACCTGGGGTTAATAGGAGAGGGGTGATAGCTGAATGAATATCAAGGCACTCTTAGGAAGGGGAAATGGATCCTAAACAGAGAGTCAGCCATGATCACTGCATGATAACAGGTAATGGTAATAGTTGGGACTCTCTCTTTGAAGATAACAGAAAACCCAAACCTTTATGGCTTAAGCAATAAAGGTTGTTTACTGGCTTGTACCATGGAAAAGTCCGCAAGTAATGTAGCTGCAGGGATGGTTGGATTCAGGATTCGGAGATTCTTATTTAGCTCTCTATCTTGACCTCTCTCTTGCTCTTTTCAGCCCATTTTTAGACACACAGACTCTCCCCTTGTGTCATCGGATGGCAGAATAGCTCCTCCTTTCCTCCTCATTTTCCACTGGAAAGAGCCAAGAATTTTCAGAAGCTGCCACAGAAATCTTAAGTGTATCTTATTGGCTCTCATAGGCCCATCCCTGACCAATTAGATTATTGTGGCTAAAGAAATATAATGTGCTGATTAGTAAAAAAATAAAGATTACTCCAAATGGTAGGGCTAGGGTACGGTTTGGTTTGCTTTACCTAAACTACAGGACAGAGGGTGGAGGAGGTGTGATCTTCCAAGGAAATGCGGGGCCAGATGTCTGCCTCAGGCATGAACAGGTTTGTTTGTTCATTTTTCATGAAATAGTTTTCCCACCAAACACTGTAGATGTTTGTATCTTCAGCAGAGGACATACCAGTATGGATAAAATAATATAATTACTTATATTTTATTTTCTAATTTGAAAAAATATTGTAATAATTGTGTAATTTTTACTTACAGCCAATTTGTCTTTTTAATTTGTATACCAAGTTTTGTTCCACGTAGACTTCAGCTCTGCATGGTATGTGTGGTCAGGTTAATTTGCAATAGAATATCTACTTACAGATGTACTGAAGATTTTGTAGAGGTGCTTATATGAATCCTTCGTCTTTTTTTTTTTTCCCCTTGGGGGGTGTCCCATAGATGAAAAAATGTTTAAAACCCTTAAAGAAGAAGGAAATCAATGTGTAAAGGACAAAAACTATAAAGATGCCCTTAGTAAATACATTGAATGCTTAAAGATTAACAACAAGGAATGTGCCATTTATACAAACAGGCAAGTTCTTTGTAACTTTATGTATTTCTTACGTTCATTTTTTTTTTTTATTAAAACATACAAATTAATTGCCGAATTTTTTTCCCATCATTTTGACAATTTATATAGCATATTGTCCTAGGTGAGTATTCTTAGGTCCTAGGTGAGGCGGGCTGGGCGTCTGGTTGGTCTGCGACACAGGTTCCGCAGGCCGTCCTCGCCGCCCTGACGTTGCTGCACTGTCCCGTCTTGGCCGTTTGGACCCACTGTGGCTTAGTCAGGTCTGCACATCATCCTCCGTGTAGGAGCAGGAGTCACCTCCCTTTCAAACTAGTTCTTAAGTGTCCTTTTTCTCTTGAAGTCCTAAGAGAGGGGACCAGCATCCTTCAGTGCATAGCAGGAATAGGCAGATTGTTCTGGAAAGCTGTTTAGAGGCCATCTATACCACATAATGGTAAAAGATCGCTCTAGAAATCTGGTGATTGGGGAATCTTAGGAGTAAGTAGAGTCTGGGGTGATGAGGAAGAAGGCTTAGTTCCTAAAGAGCAGGGACTCCCAGCACAAGATTTCCTAGCTATTTCAGATGAATTCTTTTTAATTTAACTTCTCACTGCTTTGTTTTTGTACATGTTTTCCTCTGTTGGCACCCATTTTGCTAAAAATTTTGTCATTAACTCCAACAGGTAGTTTTCTACTCTTCTTCTGTTCAGTCTCTGCGGTTCTGGGCATTAATGGCCACTCAGTTTTTCCTGGAAACCGCCTCTCCTCTTGGCATCAGTGCAGACACTCACTTGCCTGGCTCTTTTCTTCCTCTATGGGCCTTTCTTTCCCAGCCGTTCTCGGGGTTCTGAAGGTGTAGGTCCCTTTTTCACTCTGCATGCTCTCTGAGCCATTGCATCCTCCCTTCAGTTCCATTACCTTTCAGTTGTGTCCCCCACAAATCTCTGTGTGGGCTCCAGACCTAAGCACTCCGCTCCTCTCTGCCTTCCTGACCGATGTGTCCCTCTCCTAGTGTGTCTGCAAGCTCAGATGTCCTACTTCTAAATTCCTCTTGGGGGAGCCTTTCTCTCCGCCCTCCTCTTCACCCATGTCCCATCACCACTGTCTTCTCCGAGATGTCTGCTACCCCCTCCACAGAACAGACTTGTTCCCTCTCGTCTCATTCTCTGAATTGCAGCACGACTAATCTTCCTAAAACATGGTGAACATGTTAGCCCCTATTTGAGAACCCATTGGTGGACTTGCTGGAAGCTCAGGATAAAGCTCAGGCTCCTTGCTCTTCCCCGTCTGGCCTGACCGCCCTTCTACCTCATCCCTGCACCCAGCCAGCCATATGGCACTTAGTTCATCAAGAGTACCTTGCTCTCTGTCTTTCACTGTGAGACTCTGCCGTTGCTGGGCCATTGGCCACCCTCTCCCCTCCTGCATCTTAACTCTCAGCCCAGTGCCTTCACACTGGATAATTCTCACCTCCTACTCTGGGCTTCAACTTAAATGTAACTTCTTCTGGGAAGTCTTCCCCGATTACTCTTGCCTTTGCCTCAGCCCCACCAGATCTGGTAAGATTCTCAGCTGTGTGTTCCCAGAGCATCCTGTTCAGATTTTATTATGTTTGCTTATTTTAATTGTCTCTTCCACTTAGACTATAGCCTTCTTGAGGGGCCTGAGCTGTACTTGTTTGCAGTTGTATCCCCAGTGCCATAATTATGTATATTGCAAGAAAATGCCATAATTAGAATAAAATGTTAGGCTTCAATGAGACAGCCAACAGACTTTTTGAGCTATGTTCTGATTGTTATTAACTATCTAAATTTATAGTGTTGTCTTTGCATTTCATAATACGTAATTGCTTTCATAATTACATTCTACCAGAGCTCTGTGTTACTTGAAGCTGTGCCAATTTGAAGAGGCAAAGCAGGATTGTGATCGGGCACTTGAGATAGATAACAGAAATGTAAAAGCGTGCTACAGACGAGCTCTGGCTCATAAAGGACTCAAGGTGAGGAAATCTTCATTTTAATAAGTAAATTTCAGCTCTGAAAACAATATGTGGTTTTTATGAACATGAATCTTGGGAGTGAGATTATCGTGGGATTTAATCCTGGTTCTTTGCTAACCAATCCTGAAAGCTTAGAATAGGCCTCAGATTTCCCCTGCCTTTAATGTGGAGCTAGATATTTTCTAAGATTCCTTCCAGCTCAAAAATTATTATTTTATTTCTGGATTTTCCGAGGACTTTTGTTAGTTAATGACAGATCCATTTTATGGAACAGGAAGGTTTGTTACTGAATCACTGAAGGCAACCACTGGATTCCTCCACCAAAGGATTCAGGTGTCTGTGGGGTGGGAGGAAGGCATCAGAACGGAAGCTTGGTTCACCAAGTGAAAGTTGGTAGAGACATCAGAGATTGGTGATTTGGGCCTTAAACTGGCTGCTTTAGAGTGGCATTCTTCTCTAAGAAAACCACACCATTATTTGCAAAGAAAGTATTGTATAATTACACTTTTCTTTAGGCTGATTCTTCTGCATGGAAAACTTGAATGAATGTACATATTTGTACAAAGTAATGTCACAAAGAAAAGTCAGAACATACTGGGCTATGGCATTTCTTGAAATTGTTATTTCTTAAAAATCAACTTGATTAGGGTCTAATACAATGAAATTCACACATTGTAAGCTTTCACATCTTTTAATTTTTTTCTCTTTAGAGGTTTTTTTAAATTGAGATACAACTGACAACTAACATTGTATTAGTTTCAGGTATACAGCCCAATGATTTGATTTGCACAGTGATCACCAGTAAGTCTAGTTAGCAGCCCATCAGCACACATAGTTGAAATTTTTTTTCTTGTGATGAGAACTTTTAAGATCTATGCTTGTAGCAACTTTCAAATATGCAATACAATATTATTAATTGTATCACCATGCTGTGCATTATATCCAATGAGTTCTTTCTTTCTTAACTGGAAGTTTGTGCCTTTTGAGCCATTTCACCTACTCCCCAGCCTTTGTCTTGCCTCTGACAACCACCAGTTTGTTCTTTGTGTCTGTAAATTCAGTTCTGTTTTTGGTCTTGTTTTCTAAATTTCACGTACAAGTGCAGTCATAAGGTAATTGCCTTTCTCTGTCTTACCTCACTTTTAGCATATGCCCTCAGGAGCCATCCATGTTGTTGCAAATGGTAGGAGTTCCTTCTTTTGTATGACTGTAAATAGACCACATTTTTTCTATGTGTTCATTCATTGATGGACACTTAGGTTGTTTCCATGTCCTGGCTGTTGTAAATATTGCTGTCGTTAACACAGGAGTGCAGAGGTCTTGCAGATTTCATGTTTTCATTTCCTTCAGATAAATACCTAGAGGTGGAATTGCTGGATCATATGGTAGTCTTATTTTAGTTTTTTGAGGAGCCTCCATACTGTTTTCTTTTTTTTT